CGCAAGATTGATGACTTGCACTTATTTTGAAGATCCCCATTGAAGACATTATCTCCTCAACAAGAATCTGTTTGCGGTTCCCCAGGAAGTTTAAATTATTTCCCAACACCATTATTACAATACTCTCATGATAATTACCCGACAAAAAGTGGTGGTCTATTTATTTGAGAAGCTTGTGTGTCCCCTGATTCCTTTTTGGACAGAAAAAGACAGTCTCGTTTGAGTAGTCCGTCAATTCCCAAAAAAGTTTGTCCCCAGATATCGATATTTATTTACTCTAATGGATGGTTAATCTCTTCGATATGATAGAGATATTTCATTTTGAAGTTTGTTATATACTCCAATGGATGGTTAATCTCTTAGATATGTTAGAGATAGTTTGTTGTGAAGATTGTTATTTACTCCAATGGATGGTTAATCTCTTCGATATTGAAATTCTGGTATGCAGATATCAGATGTCCTAAGAGATATTAAGACACTGATATCTGATCAAAACATAATGACAAGATAAATATAATTAAAAGTACTGAAAATAAATGAACACGCAGAGTTGTTAACTCAGTTCAGTGTACAACAACACCTACGTCTAGGGGTTACCAAGCCAAGGGTGAAATCAACTAAATAGTACCAGTTTGTAAATCTTCAGCAAACTATTTCCAGTTTATAACCTATTCACCTGATAACTACACATGCTTAACTTCTACCTAAGACTCACCTAGGTATGAGACCCTTCTCAAATCCCTTTTAATCACAACAGTGATGAAAACTCTAACACTTAGAATATTTCAGAAGTTACACTTCAAAGACACACAATCACTCAATTCTTAAAAGCTTAAGAATGATTGACAGAACTTATAACTCAATAGAGAGAGTCCTACTCTTATACCAAAATGATATTAGAGAGGCTCACAATTAACAAGAACAAAAAACCAAAAATATCACTAGAAGATACAATACGTTCCACACTTAATTTAGGTTTGTATCCTTCTTTTTATAAGCAATGTCTGGTTGGATTTGGGCTTCAAAAATGTAGCAGGATAACATCTAAATATTTGCATAATCTTCTGCATAAAAATAGGACTTTAATCATATGTTTCTTAAAATATCTCAACATTTAAGAAAACAAATTAATCTTCTAAATTAAAATAGAATATCTGATTCCTCAGTCTTGGACGCCATATAAAACGACCTGATATTCCCAGGATACTCAGGATCTGTTATAACTAAATATATCCAAGCACACAGTTGTAACAGACAAGATGTCAGATCATCTGGATAAGACATCTTGTTCAACATTTTTCTTCCGCAAGTTAGAACATCCTATTTAATATGTTGCTGCCAAATTAGTTTTACCAAAATTAATGACAATCATAAATTAGAGAACTAACAATCTCCCACTTTGGAAAATTTTAGCTAAAACAAATAAATAATCCATAATTCAGATTCCAATAAAAAACAAAGGTTTGAAAATAAATCAAACACACACATGAGAAGCACATAAGCATAAGGTTTCAGTAGAAAAATCAGACTATCAGAGGTATTTGCAGTTGCAATAAATATCATAATGTTAGTCAGTGGAATTTACAAACACAACAACATTGAGAAAAATAAATTCTCAGTCAGTCAGATTTATATCAGGACATCATGTTTGACATCTCTTCATGCCAGTCCAAACAAGAATAAATTCTCCCCTCAAAACTATTAAGTAACACATCAGAGAATCATAATTCTCCACCTTAATAGCACATGTAATCAGTTAGTGGTTAGTGGTTATACTACTCACCCTTTTTAGCCAAAATATGACAAAAGTAAGTATATCACCCAAAAGAACCACAATAGAACATAAACAAAATTAACACAACATACACACAAGATGTTAAAAGTGTTCTGGTCATTTAACCCTTTCAGAAACATATACCAAAAACAAACAAAAGAAAACACAAAAAAAAGGTCATGCATCAACATCAACATCACCATCATCAGCAGTCTCATACTCTTCTCCTTCACCATTAGCATCATCACCACCAGATGCACTATTCTCATCACCAGTCTCATCATTCTCATATGCACTCTGTTCACCATCAACATCATCACCCTCAGATGCAGTCTTCTAAATAGCATTATCATCTTCAATTTCCCCACCATCTGATGCATCATTGGCAGCAACAATAGTAGCAGCACTAGCAGATCTAGCCTGATTTTCTTCTTCTTCCATCAAAGTCTTCATCAATTGTTCAAGCTTAATTTCCTAGCAGAGCTAGTCCTGATGTATTTATCTAACTCTCTGTAGGTCTCTGTTAGTTGAGAAATAATTCCTTTTCTGGAAGTTGCAGGACCAGATATCTGAGAAGATGTCACAACAATGTCGGGAACATGTGTTCCACCAAACAGTTTATAATGCAAAGACAAAGGAGATTCCATTTTCTTCACACTATCAAACTCCGATAGAATATCAAGGTGCTGATTCAAGACAATTCCACAGTGAGAGAAGGAAAACAGATAGGTAGCTTCATAACATATGAGGATGCTTGCTTTAGAATCTTCTCAGAGATGTATTCCCCAAAATCAAAAGAGTTCTCTTTTCCAACAACATAGATAAACTCACCTAGGCCAGTAGAAACAACAGAGGTATGGTTTGTGGGAACCCAATTAATAGTAGCAATTCTATGAAGAATAACATACTTCACACTAAGCCTTCCAACTAATAACTTTCCTCCATTTGGCCAGTGCTTCACCTTTCCACCAATGATCTACTTGAAGACTTGATCACATGTAACCTCTAACTCAACTTGAGGTGCTTCAGACCTGCCCATAAAGTTGTTGATCATAGCAGGAGAGAATGTCACAACATTTCCCCTAACCTACGCTTTCCTATAGTCTTCACTCTTCACATCATCACATCCATCAGGAACATTCACAACAAACTCCTTGACTAATCTTTCATAGCAAGGACAAAATTTTATGACAATCTTTATCAAACCTGCCTCCCTTATAAGCTTTACAACCTCTTGACATTTTTGGAAATCCTTACCCAATTCCTTTCCAAATATGTCCTCCTTTGTTCAACATGCTTCCATTTATCAGCATTCTCCTCAGAATGAAAATTCACCTTGTCCACTGAAGCCTTATGAGCAACAGCCCTAGCCTTCTTAGAAGCAGACCTTTTGATGGGAATGATGTCCTAAACATCCTCTTCAACTTCAAATTCAGAATCACTTGAAACAACAACTTTCCTCTTCTTTGTGGGAATGACCTTTACTCCATGGTTTTGGAGGGCGATACTGAGGTTTTCGTTTTAGCTCCCCACCTTTTCCTTTTATCTCCTTAACAGGTGAGTTTTCAACCACCACAACCTTTCCTTTTCTTATTTGAAGTATCTCAGCAATTCCATGAGCCAGGTGTTTGGTAATGGGATCCTCATCAGAAGATAGGTCATCAACATTGATAAAAACATCATCCTTCTTCTTACTTCTTCTTTCATGAGTAACTTTCTCAGGAACACAATCATCAACCTTTTTACTAGAGTCATCTACAAGACTGATTTCTTTTGCCAAAGATGTTTTAACATCTGGAAAAACATCTGAACCTACTTTCTTCAAGACAAAAACAACAAATTTCCTAATGTTTTTGTTACTCCTTTCACCTTCAGTTACATTCTCATCAACAACGGTAGACCCAATGGGATTCATCCTCTCATATTTTTCTAACCCGGCCTCCTTTCTAGCACCAGTCTTAACAGGAGAGAAAAATGATTTATCAGAAGTCCCAACATCTTTGAAGCAGATGATCTTACTTTCTTTTGAGGTGGTAGAGGAACAATGGACAATGAAGCGATATCCATCATTATATCAGATAGGTTGATCATTCAAAATGGTTCCTTAACCCTAGCAGGTGACGGAGGTGACCCAGGGTTTCCAGATGATGCATGCATTTGCTCGGATGATGAATGTTGAGACATTTTTTATCCGACTTGAAGAAGTTTGGAAAAACACAAGTGAGAGGAGATGACCACAAATTTCTGAAAGGAATACCAAAAGTCTTGTTTGTGCAGTGGTTCTGAAATAGGTAGTGTGATTTAGTCCAACAAAGTAGCCTTTGAATTAGTGGCTTAGGCAAGCGTGAGAGTGGGAGATATAAAATTTGAGACTTTGCTTGACCCACATAAATAGCAGTAATTGCTACAAATCATCATAAACACAAATACTAAGCTTCCCTCATGATTTTTCAAATTGTACAACATCCAAGGCCTTAGTAAAAATATTAGCAAGTTGATTTTCAGTGTTAACATACTCAAGAGTTATGAATTTATCTTCAACAAGTTCTCTAATGAAATGATGCATGATATCAATGTGCTTAGTCCTACTATATTGAATAGGCTTTTTGGAGATATTAATAGCACTCAAGTTATCACAAAATAATGTCATGACATCTTGTGTGACATTATATTCAGACATATTTGTTTCATCCACATAAATTGAGAGAAGCTACTACATGCATCAATGTACTCAGCTTCAGTTGTAGATAGGGACACACAATTTTGTTTCTTGTTGAACCAGAAAATCAAATTGTTTCTCAAGAAGAAACAAATACCAGAGGTACTTTTCTTATCATTAACACTACCAGCCCAATCTGTCATACCTCAAATTTATCCGTCTCAGTGCTACAGTGAAAATTATTTCAAAATTAGGTTTTAAAATTATTTTGATTCGTTTACACCAACATTCTTTAGATTTTATAAATATTCATTTTAAAATTATTTTATTTATTTAAAAATATACATAATAATTTATTTGTATTTTTTAAAAATAACAAATATTTGCTCACTTTCATATATTTTCAATTGAATTTTTTATTTCAAAAGAGTAATATAGCACAGTCGATAAGGAATGAAATTTCCGAATATAAGGTCGCGAGTTCGAATCTTTATCTTATAATTTTAGCATTTTTTTGATGAGTTCGCGGGTTCAAATGAGTACAAAAGCAAATAATGGCCAACTACGATGCATCTTGATGACTCTCTCTGTGCTGCGAATCCAAAACATCACCACATGTACCGGCAAATTGTTCTCCAGAAAACAGGGAAAATAAATAGAGGACGAATCAAAGACACACACCACACCGTCCGCCAACGCTCATCACTTACATATCCGCGATTCCGGCCGCTTCACGACATCGCGGGACAGCCACCACAGATCCAAGCGACTGCCACTCCTACGAAACAACCGCAACACACCACCGACAGGACTGAGCGCCGTTCAAACTACTTCATGCAAGAAGCGCATCTCAGATCTCTCTCGGTGCCGGCGACTTCGACGTCATCTCCTCAGCTCTGCCACCACTGTTGCCGGTAATGTGAGTCATTAAGTTTTCCAGCTTTATTATTGTTTGGATTTTTGGATCTTAAATCTATGTATTATTTTGGTGAACTGAAATTTGCATCTGAAATTTTGGCGGTGAGATTGAAGAAGCATGAAGGAGAGAGTTTTGTTGGTTTTCTTACTGTATACTGAGCGTGGAAATTAGAAAGAGAGAAAGAGTGTAATAACGTTTTCCCTTTTTTTTTGGTTTATGCATTTATTGTTTCATTATTTTCATTAATTTTTATGCCAAGTGTACACTTTCTATTGGTTAAGTGTTAAATTTTGAAAATAGCTAAGGAAACCAGGAAAGAGGTTCCGCTGATATGAATGTTGTAATCTAAGTTTCTCTCTATTTTTTTCTTCTTCTTATTTTTTAATTATTATTTATTAATTAAATATTTTTTAAAACACTAATCCATTCAATTCTCGTGCATTAAAATTATTTTTTATATATTAATATATTTAAAAAATATTTAACCAATCAAATTATTAACAATTTTTGCTAAAATAATTTAAGGAAATTTTCAAAAAGGACTATGGAGAATTCGTCAACAAATTCTACTATTCACACATCCAGACTTAATTTAAGTAGAATTCGAAATATTTCTGTAATTCATAAAAAAACACCAATCAACTACGAATTGAGACTTTGATTCCTCATAAGAGGATACGTAAGTATACGACTAAAATCGTGGCGAGTTTCTCTAATAAAAATTAAAGTCCTATTTCTTAAACGATAATTCTAAACCCTAATATCTTTGTGAACAAGGTAGATAAAGGGTGCCTAACACCTTCTATTCGTCTAAAACGAGTCAACAACTTAGAATCTCTGACCAAATTAGGGTTATCCGTTATATTCCCTTCCCTAGGATAAAAATTAATGGTGGCGACTCTTATTTTTAAACCGGTTATTACACAATCAACATCACAATATCCCATTAACATGGAGTTTGAACCATGAGAATATAATATTCCATAGTCACATGTACCATTCACATACTTCATAATTCTTTTTACTTGATTGATGTAACTTACTTTGGGTTCTGCCTGATATCTAGCGCATACTCCAACAACAAAAGTTATACCTGGCCTGCTTGCACTATGCCAAACAAGACATTCGACAACGGTTTTTTCCTTCGTTTAACAGCACTTAAAAGCGCTGCCTAAAGCAGCGCTGCTAAAAATAAAGACATCGCTTTTTTTCAATGTAAAAGTACTGTTTTATGCCCACTTTAGGCAGCGCTTTTACATTAAAAGTGCTTTCTTATGCACCCCCTTTAGACAACGCTTTTAAAATAGACAACGATTTTTATATAGCCCTTTAGCAGCGCTTTTGCTTTAGACAGCGCTTTATGTTATTTTTTAAGTTAGGCTTTAGATAGCGCTTTTCTTTAAAAGCGCTGTCTATTCCCCCCCCCCCCCCTTTAGATAACGCTTTCCCACTTTAGACAACACTTTTTTTGACTTTTTACAACGCTTTTCTCTTAAAGCGCTGTCTATTGATCACAATTTTTTATTAATAAAATACCTATTTTGACTTACAAAAGCGCTGTCCAATATATATAATGCATTTTAATCAGATTTTAACCATATTTGAACCAAGTTTTCACCATATTATGCACCATATTTGGTAGCTTCATTCCAATAAAATATGCATATGTAAAAATTCCACATATATATAAATTGATGATATATACAACAACAACTACAAAATTTATGATACAAGTTAAAATTCTACAAGTTGAAAATCCTAAAATTCAAAATTGATGTTACATCTACATCTTACTATCTTCGAGAATTCTCATAAAACAACAACAACATGAATATCTTAGCTCTATCTTCTACACATGTACCTATAAACCTGGAAAAAAAAACCAAATGATCGAAATTCATTACATAAAAATATTAAAGTTGCACTTTATTCGAATTTAATTTATACTCAAAACTCAAAAGTTCTCATCAAAGGAAATAAGACAATATGCCTTAGCTTATAAAATTTTCAACCCGATAATAAATTGACATCATTCCTCCTTAAGTTCATCCAATTAATCTTTTGAGTAATGTGCACTATTGAATTCCTCAAAGTACTATATATATATAATAATATAACATAGTATGTGATTTAGTTAAAACAATATATCATTTTATGAGAAACACAAAATATGAAAATAGTATGTAACTCCTAAGTTAGAAATCCATATCGTGGATGGAATCTCTAATCGATCCAAAAGAATAGTTTCTTTCATAAACCTCAACATGAAATAGCCGCAATCTATACTGTTACGCTGACGAGGACACTACACATGGAAAGAAAATACGAATATATATAAGGATATACCCCTTAAATTATTTTATCAAGTATCATCACTAATGTAATCAAAACTGAATATCTCTTTGTGAAAATATACTTCCACTCTGATCCATGTAACATTATTGGCTCTACTTGTTGGCACTTGAATATCTCTTTGGGAGTGAAAAGCTAGTAGAACGCTATAATATAAATGACTGTTTAGAATAATCTCACATAGAAACATAAACATAAACACAAATCCAGATATATATCTTTGGGAGCGAAAAACTTACGTGTCAATCATCTTCTTCAAATCTGGATATGTTGACCAATCATTATATAACGAATCTAGATAATACACAGTATCTCTTTCAAGATTAATTGCAACCAATAACCAGTATCCACTGTAAGATTAAACAAAGATTAAACAATGGCCAAAAATGAAAAATTATAATAGATCAAGTTATGATGAAAATCTAACCCGTTGCCAGTATTATATGGTAAAAAGAACAACTTTCCAGTATCTTTGTTGGCCACTAATAAACCGAGTACATATGCTATGACATCATCTGGTCTTGTTACGATTAACCCTGAATTGACAGTGTTGGGAGCTAAGAAGCCAAATCTTGCTTCTAATCCACGTGGGCGCACAATGTTGTCATATAGAAACCTTAAATTAAAACATCATTAACATTATACTATATTCATTGAAATGAGGAAATAAATTGTTCATATAATTAAACAAAGTTGATCAGAGTATACCTGATGTATGTACCGATAACACCGAGGCCTAATTCCAAATGTCTAAAAACTTGCTCCATATCCTCTCTACCAATTGCTTCCAGGTATTCAAAACCAAAGATGTCTGCACTCATAGGTATAAGGCGGGTACCACCATCCGAAATATCTGTTATTCCTAAATATGTCCGAAGGCACGACCTGAACTGAGCAGTAGTTTTTTTGCTAGCCACGATCTTCTTAACAACATTCTTTTTTTGTGTGGAAATATTGCTAATTTCAGGCGCCTTACCCCTACTGACTTGTGCAATCTCTTTAGTATGAATCTAATTATCATATAATTAGTTAGCTGAGGTATAAAATCACAAATTAGCATTTTTCATAGCACTATATACCATTTTGTACTCGTCGGGTCAGTGACATAGAACACTTGTTTAGCTTGAGAGGCTAGAATAAAAGGCTCATCTTTGTACCCCTCCCTATTAAGATCCACTTGCAAAAATCCTGACTTATCCATTCGTATGCCACTACTACTTGCTCACTTGCAACCAAAGATAGGAATCTGAAACTTCTCGTAATCAAACACCTAAATATGCTCGATAACCCCAAAAATGACAGATTTACATATTTGGGGTTTAGGTCCTTCATACTTGAGATGTGCATTACTTCAGCAAGCACGGTGGCACCACTATTTTGCATAGTACTTTTATCATCTTGTTCTTTAGTATAAAATGTGTATCCATTAACTGCGTATGCGCTATAAGAAAACACATGCAAACTTGAACCATATGCCAAACATCTCAACCTTTCTGTTATTGAAGCGGGATCTGAATGAAGCTTTGAAAAAATATGATCCTTAAACCATGGTATAAAACTTTGATTATGCTCCCGTACTATCCAATTTTCATTTCTATTCTGATTTAACCCTCAGAGTACATCCTTGTGAATTTCAACATATGGCTCAACCTCACAGTCATTGTGCAGAACATACATATGCACTTGATCCCCTTTATCCCTTGATACTATCACAATTTTATTTCCAATTAATCTTTTACCTTCCTTTTTTTTCAAAAATATGAATTTTGGGGAGTCCAATGGATTGAACTTTGGACAAATATTTAGTACAAAACTCAACCACTTCTTCAACAATGTATTGCTCAACAATACAACCCTCTGGGAGACTTCGGTTTTTCACGTACCCTTTTAATATTTTCATATAACGTTCAGCAGAGTACATCCATCTCATATAATCTGGTCCGCACAACTGTGTCTCTTTCACAAGATGAACAACTAGATGTACCATTATGTCAAAAAATGAGGGAGGAAAATACATTTCAAGATCACACAAAGTAATAAAAATTTCTTTTTGCAATGTTGGTAAGATCTCAAGATCGATCACCTTACTACAAATTGACCTAAAGAAAAAACACAACTTAGTTATCGCGCTCCTTACTTTTTCTGGCAAAATAGAACGTATACCTATTGGTAGAAAATGTTCCATTATAACATGGCAATCATGTGTCTTTAAACTCTTTAACTTGAAGTCTTTCATAGACACAAGTCTTCTAATATCTGAAGAGTATCCTTATGGAACTTTAACTTCACTTAGAAACTTACACAATATTTTTTTCTCCTTTCTAGATAGAGTAAAAGCAGTAGGTGGTAGATATGTTCGACTTCCTTTCTTCACGGGTCCTAGTTCAGTTCGTATTCCCATCTTTAACATGTCCTCCCTTGCTTTAAGGCCATCCTTAGACTTTCCTTTAATATTGAGTAACATACCAATAACACTTTCAAGTACATTTTTCAATATGTGTAACATCGAGAAAATGTCTCACATACAGAGACTTCCAATATGGCAATTAAAAAAAATCGATCTCTTCTTCCCCCCACCTTTGACAACTGTATGCGCAAAAGGATTGCCAAACTGAGTACACACATCTTTCACCTTTTCAAAAATTTGGTCCCTGACAATGCAGGTGGAGCTTTACGTTGTTCGGTGTCTCCATTGAATGCTTTTCTCCATGCACGGTAGTGATGTTTAGAATGTAAGAATCTATGATTACCTAGAAACACTTTCTACTGACAAAGTTCCAAACACGTCGTATCGGTTCCATCTTCATAAATAGGACATG